TCGTGAGGAGATCCCGGGCTGCCTCCATGCTGAGCGTTACGGTCATAAGCACTTACCGGTGTCTGCTGGTGCCTGGCCGCGCTCCGGCTCCCCAGCCCCCCATGAATCCATCGCTGCCGCGCCCGGCTTCGCCCCAGGTGAAAAATAAAAATACAGTTCACAGTCAGAGTGCTCTGTTTGAACGTGAAATAACTCGTTGTTCTGCTAAAGGTTTCCGTCAAGGGCCACAGGTGGTTCCACAAGCGTGAGGAACTCTTTGGAATGGTCTCTATTTATAATACAAAAATATTTTAACTTAAATTGAAGCTTCAAGTTTATTATCACAGAATGTGGCGCTTCTTCACTATGTTGAAATGTGTTCTGTCTGTTACCTTTTATAGAAACTCAGCCCAAGCCTTGAGAACAGCACCATCCAGAAACAGAGGCAGGAACTCCAGCTTTTAATTGCAGAACTGAACGATCGCGATAAAGAGCTCAATGATATGGTCGCAGTGCATCAGAGACAGCTGCTAGCCTGGGAAGATGATCGGCAAAAAATACTGACTTTAGCAGAGCGATGCAGCTTATTGAACAGTAAGTATTGGGTGTAAAGGATAAGACCCTGGTCTTTTAAATACATTCAGGTGCTTGGGCCCCTCAGTGACTGTTCTGCATCATATAAAGAACCATTTCCTACCCTTCAGCCTTAAATTTGGTTGTCTTCTTTTTGGGATGAAAACTTCCACAAGGTGGATCTGATCTTGAAGGGGATATGACAACCAGAGAGCTCTTTTTTGTTTGAATATGTAATTGCTTCTATGGAGTCTAAAAAAGAAACCTGATGAAATAAATGTGGGGGAGGAAAACAATTTGCAGACATGCTGGTGAACTGCAGAGCCGTGTGCCCTGAGGTTCTGCGGCACAGCTCTGACATCATCCACAAGCCACCCAGGTAATCACCTGGCAGCTCTGAACAGTCTTGTTTGACATCCAGAGTGCACACATCGCCACAGAGTTCTTGTTCCTGGTAGCTCGGGAATCCTGCTTCAGAGTGTGCAATGCGAGCATCTGTTTCTGAATTGCATGATTTTAAAACACTGGATTAAATTATTTCTGAGATTTAAAAAATTACATGACAGTATCTGTGCTGTTTTCTCACAAATTCCTTATCTGCCTTATTTTCAGATGAGCTGAACAAGAGAAATGAAATTATAAAATCGTTGACCAAAAGGTTAAAGTTCTTAGAATCTCAGCAGAACGACAGTAAGACAACACTTGAAAATATACAACAGAAGTTTAAAGAGCTGTCTCAAAACGTAACAGATGCAACTGTTCAGGCTCTGGAGGTAGGAGTTGGGTAATGGTCTGATTTTGCAGACCGTGCACGTACAGAATGCCAGTGGCATTTGTGAGTCACTAGTGAAGAAATATTTCATATTAAGGCTCTTGAGTTGCATTTGTCTTTTAGTACAGTAATGGTTAAGTTAAGGTGTAGCTCTGATTCGTTAGGGGAAGAAAAAGAGAAAAAAAGCTTTCCTAAGCTAGGATTTGGAGTTTGCTGTTTGCTTGCTTAGTTTTGGGGAACACTGCTCAGAACCCACTTGCCCCAAAAACATGATTGCAAAGGCTGTGTTGGCCCCTGGAACAGCATCTGGAAGTTCCAGAAAGTTTTATTTATAGCTTTGATTACTATGACAAACAGTAACGTTCTGAAAATGGTTTAAGGATATGAAAATAACTGGTATTCAAGGGTCTAGATTTTCTTTTAAAGTGATTTGGCAATTATGTGTTTATTGGGATAATTTTTTCCCCTGTATATGCAGTACAGTAAAGCAGCATTGTGCATTTTTGTCTGTCTAATCGGCTTGACTTAAGACATGCAGGATGTTAAGATCCTTGACTGCAAACAAGTTTATAGTTGTAACGAATTGGGGAACAATTCTTACCCCAGTCCTCTTTTTTCCAAATCCTCACAACTCGCTCAGAATTCCACATTGCCGTTTGTGATGTTTAAATAAAGTTGCACACGCATTTACTGGAAAAAATAGTAACTTTGAATCGTTGAAGTAGTAGCTGACGCTCATTATTTCTGTTCACTAGGACAAAAATCAGAGTCTCCACTGCTCAGTTTTGGAACTGTCGGCTAAAGCAGGCCAGCTGCAAGCGAGAGAACAGGAGCTGCTTACTATGCTTAAGCTGAAGGTAACACCTGTCGTCTCATCAGGCAGTAAATGTGGTCACACTGCAGTGCGGGGACTGGTGGCGGTATCGCAGTGCTTTAGTCCCTGTTGGTCTCACTGCTGTTTAATGCTTAGGCTTGTTTGAGAAGGGAAGAGTAGCCAACAAACAATAAACTGGTTTGTTTGTTAAACAAGCTTGTTTCCTGCCTTTGATTTGTTTTTTTTTTTCCTTAAGAGCTCAGAAGATCTGTGAAGTAGCTGTAGCTACTGCAGTAAGATGTACAGTTGTTTTCTCAAAATCCATACATGAAGATAAAACAATAATCAAGAATATGTTCTATCTCATATTTCAGGACGAGACTATACTGGAAACAACTGATCACATTACTGAGTTTACAGCTAAATTCAAAAAGCTGGCAAGTGCTTTGCGTGCAGCAAAGGCAGAGGCATTCTCTCTCAACAAAGAAAAGCAAGACCTCAAACTGAGAGTGAAAGAACTAATACTGGAAACAAATAAGCTGAAAGGTAAATGTTTATACTGGGCACCTAATTCAGTGCAGACTAGTGTGATTACTTTTCATTCTGGGAAATACTACATTTTGTTTTAAAGATGACCTCTGTGAAAAGACGAAGGAAAATAATAAGCAGCAGGAAGAAATCATTCACCTCAGACAAGAAAACAGCAGCTTGAGGAATGAGCTCGCACTTATTGGTAAGTGGGGGCAGTTGGCTGTTTGTGCCTTAGCTTTGAACAGCTCAGAGGCTTCTAGACAGCAAGAGTTCACTAATATCTGTGAAGGAGGCAGCTTCTTATCTACCTTTCTTGCAGTTTAATAAAGGTGTGTGCCTTTGTGTGTCATTCTTCTATGAAAGCAATCCTTAGGGCTTCTGCAGGAACAGTTTATAGCATTGTGTAAAAGCACAAAGTTCACCAGTATGATTAAGTGTGGAGTGGCTGAGGATTCTCTCTTGAAAGTTTTTGAGACTTTGATGTCTCCTGTAGTATTAATACAATAAATGGGGGTGCCATTCTCCCATCTGACATAGGTGGCATAGAAAACAGTGACCTACTGAAAGGAAACCACGTGCCAAAGGCAAAGCTTAGGCCCTATGAAAATTATCATCCCGTTCACTCTCTCCAGTGTTTGTATGGAAGGAGTATATTTACAAATTCACTTCTCTTGTTTTTTTTAACTGATGGTTTTGATTCAGGTGGTTTAATATGCAGGACTTGTTAACTGCAACCTGCTATCTTGATAGCTTCACTTGGGCTTTGGGTAGAGAGAAACTCTTCTGTAGCGCAGTGGATTGAAAAGGCAGGCTGGCCATTGCTGCAGGGTTCTTACAGACAAGCAATATACCTTGAAAGATTAGGTGACCAAAGATGTGCTCTGCTGTGAGATGATTTACTTGCCTATCGCTTTTTATCTGCCATTACCTTTGCCAAATATTGATTCCATGTCTTGTTATTTTAAAAACAACAGTAATGGGAAATTTTTCCCAGCGCTTCCCTGCACAGGGCATGAGTTAGATATTAATTACTGAATTTCATTTCCATGGAAGAATGTTAACAGGAACAAGTGAAATAATCAGTCTATGAAGCAGAATATCGCTGCTAGTGAAATAAAACCAGGTGCTGGTGAAGAGTCTGAGGAAAATACTTGTTTACTTGTCGTATGGTTTTTTGCTCATTTTATTTAACAGATCCTGTTGATCTTAAGAAAATGTTTTTATTTTCTCCAGGTGCCTGTTTTTATTGCTACAAACATAGGCGTTAGCAAATGTACTTGTTTTGTGTCTGTTCACTTTAAGTAGTTTGAAAATCCTATATGTTTTGATGCAGTTGAGAAAGCAAAGAGAAAGGATCAACTTCTTCAGTCTGCCAAGTCTAAGCAAGCACGGACTGACACAGAACTATCAAATTTGCGACAGGTACAACCCTGACTGTGTGTCTACTCTGAGATGATGAAGGCATTTTTCATTAACATCACATCTCCATGGAACAGTATAAAAATGTTAGATCTAGCTATTCTTAATTAAGAAAAAAACCTTCAAATTTGCTGTCTCTGCCTTGCTGACAGCCCTATAAAAAGTTTTTGAGGGTTTTTTTGGTTAAAATTAAAACCTCATGGTACATATCCTTGTGTTTGCATGTGCTCTTAGCCTTTTTTGTATAATTGTATTTACTCAGTCCTACAGTGAGTAAATACCACCCTCCCAGCAGTAAAGTTGGGTCCCCCTCTTGAGATAACAGTCCCTCGGTGCATGTGTAGAACCGGAGCGTGCCAGGCTCCGGGAAGGCACGTGAAGGGCAGTGGGAGCGGGGCAGCTGCCTTGCACATGTGCCCAAGGTGAACTCACGCAGCGTCCAGGGGTGTGCTGTACCGAGATCTGTTTTTTGAGAGAAACCTAAAACCAGTGTTTTCACCTGCATTCATCGGGGCTTCTCAAGGCATGTTCGATTTATTTTTTTTTTTTTTTAATTGCAAATAATTGATCAGTGTGTTATCTTCTACTTTAGCTTTACAAAAAATCCACTGCAGTGAAAGCCAGGTGTCATGATTCCGTGTCCTGTAACTCTGCATAACTTTGAACAACATAATAACAACATGTATTAAATATCAAATAACAATAATGATATTGTGTTTATATTCCAGTGTGGTTGCGTTTTAGAAGACCTCTTCAGTCTTCTAATAGAAATGCTGTTTATTGCTACAAAACATTGTTTTCATAAATAGATGCAGAGATGGCCCCTTAGATTTGGAAGGCTTTGACAATAGTTTGACTACAGGTATTGGTTTATAAAAATGTTTTGAGGATATTTTTGGAAGACAAACAGTGTGTTAGTACCTGATGACGATGTTCCTGCACTCCAGACTTTCACTAGTGCGTGTTACTATCTTCAAACAGATCTACGTAAAACAGCAGCGTGACTTGCAGTTTCTTCATGTCAATTTGGAGAGCTCTCAGGAATTAAGGCAAAAGAATGAGAAGGTGGCACATGAAAGGAGGTAAAGTAGCTTATTTTTCTTTCTTTTTTTTTTTTTATGAGTAGTTTATTCTCAGGGAGAGACTTCCCTGTTCAGCTACAACTAACATCTGTGTCAAGATGGCTTTGCTGGACTGAACCACAAACATCCAGTGAAGTTGTTAGATACCGTTCTTCACTTGGTCAGGAGACACCATGAGTCTCAGTCACAGGATAAATCATTGCATGCAGGCCAGACAGTTAATGATTTTTTTAAAAATAGAACAGTCTGGTGGTAGGGGTGTTAATCTGGCCTGCTACTACTTTTGTTTAAAAATCAAAGTTTATTTTGCTTTCAGATTAGGCAATCGGTGCACGCCCTGGAGGTTCAGACAGAATTGCCATGCTGTATAAAATGTGAGGGAACTCTCAGACTGATTTTGGAAAGTTAACAGCCACACCTGGGCAGACTCCTGTCGGCTTTGGGCAGGATACAGCTGCCTGTTGGTATAGGAACTACCACAGAACCTTGGCTACAGCCTCAGTTAATGTGTAGCTTTAACCTGGAGTACAGTTCCGTATGCTATTTAAATGCAGTTTTTCTGACTGTTTTCTTTATTGTGCTGTTGTAGCATAGGTCTGGCATTCTCTGCCCCTGACAGTCACAGCGAGACAGACACGGTTAGAACTGAGGGCAACCACGGGATATGCGAGGAGTGTGGAACTGCACAAGTTCCAAAAAGTAGGGTAAAAACCACCCATGAGATGTGTGAAGTAGATAATAGACTGTTACTGAATGCATCAGACTCAGAGGAAACTACCTCAGCATACTTAAACCAGTATCAAAAAGTTGTGAAAGCCTTGGCTGTCCTTACGGAAGAAGAAGAAAAGCAGGATGTTGCATCAAGCTCTGATGAGCTAGGCGGCAAAGCATTTTGTGAGGCAAACAACACGAGGCCATTGAGAAACAGGGAAATTTCTGAGAATGGAGAGGAAAGCAGAGTCCAACAGACCTTTGAGTCAGCTTTACCTGAATGTCAGCATTGGCTTAAGGTCGGTTCCTGTGTAGATTTACAAACTACTTTGATGCAAAACACCATCACATCTGACAAAACTGATAATGAAAAGAAAACCTGGGAAGAGAGAACTGGAATTCTGTTTGGCCAAAAAAGCAGAGAGACTCCTGCTGCCATTCACAAGTCTGATTCGGATTCCTGTAGTAGTAACTTCATCACAAGAAGAGATGCACAGTGGAAGCCAGTATCAGATCCAGAATGGATGATGATTTTCAAACCCATAAAGAGAGATGGAAGCACATGGCATGGAAAAGATTGCAGCTGTCTCAAGACTGCACAAGAGATGAAATGTGCCGACTCAAAAAGGTTGTGTGCTTGATACGTTTAAGAAATAGATAGGTACTAGCTGGAGTTATGTAGAAACTTGGGTGCACAAGCTCCCAGTAATTTTTATTATCTCAAGTGATGTTTAAACTAACTGCTGTTTTAAAATTAGTCTACCAGCTTGTAGTAAATTTTAAATAAGATAGCACTAAGGTATCATGATCCTATTTTTCTGCATTTATTTTTTCGCATCTCTCATCCCCAAGAGCTGCGTGGGTAGGAGAAGCTGCAGTACCACAGAACTTGCCAAATAGACTAATTGAGAAAAATGCAGATTTAAAAAATCTTACAATTTTTTTTGAAATCCCAGATGTTGCTTGTAAATCTGGTAGGTAGAATATATTCTGACCAGACTTGGGCTTCTCCAGTGATATTTCTGTAAGGCAAGAAACAAACCTGGGTTTTGTGTGATGCTTTAGTGACTGTGTTATATCTGTTGAGAAATCACACGGTGGCTGGGCAAGAATGTAGGACACGGCTCTTGCGCACAGGCTGCTTTCCTCACTCAGGGCAAAAAAACCGAGATGGCAAGATTTAAAGGACAGCAATCTGTCTGCTCTCTAGTGCGTCTTTGTTCGTGGACTCAATCCTTTTGTTTATATTGGGCGAGGAAAAAGGACATGTGGGTGGGGATGAGCAGAAGGAGGTTTCTAATGCTGCAAAGTGTTGGAAAAATACATGGTATTGGAAGGTGGCTGAGATATAAATGCTGCTTCACATTTAGAGAAGTGGGCACAAGCAAGGGCATTCAGAGCTGTGACTGTCCGTGGATTTGTTGTATTGGTTCCTCTGTTTCCTTTCAAAAAGTTGACTGTCTTTAGCAGCTCTATTTTAGAAGGATTCCTGAAGTTTTACAGAGGTTTCACAGTTGCCTTTTAGCCAGCGAAGGAGGAGTAGCTTTACAGCTGGTGGTTTGTCAAGTACCGTAAATGACCAGCTGTTTAAACCTGCTCAGAATTTCAGCCAGCAAGTCTGCCCGATGTCCAAACAAATTAATGTTATGGAATGGACATATCTGATATACCAATGTTGTCATTCTGTGTTGCTTTTAGAACAAAAATATTGTAGCAATTGTGAGGGCAGTGAGAAAGACCTCTTCAGAAACAAGGTGAATGGGCAGCCGCTGAAAAAGAATGCTGTCCCGGCACATTCCCACGCAGCTGAGCCGAGCTTCACACTGTGTGTGGACTCTCTCTAGTTTCCACTGTCCATAAATCATTAAAAAGACTGCGCTCCCCTTACAACTACCGTGACCTTTCTTATCTACTCCCCCAGCAGCACAAGTGACACACTGCCATCCCTCCAAATCTCTTTTGAGGCTGAATCATGAAAACTCCTTTCGCTTTTTGGCCGGTTGTTAAGGGGATTCTGGGGGAGAAGGAACAAATTCAACTTGGGCAGTGCCAATAGAGCATATATTACAGCAGCTTCCAGTGCTGAAGGGGGGCTACAGGAGAGATGGGGGGCTCTTGATCGAAGGGTGGAGTGATAGGACAAGGGGTAATGGTTTTAAGCCAAAAGAGGGGAGATTGAGATGAGATATTAGGAAGAAGTTTTGCCCTGTGTGGGTGGTGAGGCAGTGGCCCAGGTTGCCCAGAGAAGCTGTGGATGCCCCATCCCTGGAGGGGTTCAAGGCCAGGCTGGATGAGGCTTTGGGCAACCTGGGCTAGTGGGAGGGGTCCCTGCCCATGGCAGGGGGTGGCACTGGATGATCTCTAAGGTCCCTTCCAACCCAAACCATCCTGTGATTCTGTGATATTCTGCAGTACGGGAGGGTTGTTCTGCCCATTTGGGATTTGCTGCTGAGCTGTCAAGTTTTCTTGATGCCCACATTAGGTCCTAGGAGCCCTGCTAACTGGAGACGGATTAACTCAGTGCAGATCCCAGCCTGTCTGCTCTCCAGCCTCTGCTGACTCTGATGTGCCACCAAATAAATTCTCTCCCCATACATGGGAGGAAGGCAGCAGCACTGCAGTCCTCAGTGTGGGCTTCTTGTTAAGGTATTCATGGCAGAGACCAAACACAACATTCCTTCTGGGACTTGAATCTGGATCCTCCAGTTTTCCATTGCTGGCTTTGCAGTGCTGATGATGTATTTTGTGTGCAGGGAAGGGTGCTGGCACCTCCCTGTCAGCCCAGCAAATATTTTTGACATGAGTTCTTGACTTCTGGAACAGGCAACAAGAAGGCTATTAACACAGTCAAATACCTTCTCCAACTGCAGGATCGATTGTGAAATTCGTTAGGGCAGGAATAATTTCTGGGTGCTCTGACTTAGTGACTTCATTTATGTTGGACCAACATTTGCTGCCTTTGGATTTTTATCTCAATTCTGGTTTTAAAGATGGAGCATCAGCAGTTTCTTGTTCAGTGTGCTCCTGCCATTCCTTCAGCCATCTCCCTACCTCAAAACCAAACTGTTTCGTTCCCCCCATCCCTCACAGCCTGTGTATTCTTCCAAACTGGCTGTGCTCATTGCATCCCCCCACATCCCTTGTTCCCTCACATTTCTGCAGAGCCTTTCCTTGTCAGCAGCTCACAGACATGAGCTCTTCTCTCTTCAGAGAAAGCCTGTTGTGCCCCAGTGCTTTACAGGAGAAGTGAAATGAGACACAGCATCTCTCACAAGGGCTTTTTCTTAGGTTGTATGTCAATTAAAAATAAACCTTTTTGTAACAGTCTTGCGAGATATGGAAAGTGTGCCACCAAAATAAGTATCTAAAGAATATTTAATGAAATGTTGTCAATGTGAAGATAGTATTTTCTTTATACATATTTTAAAATTATTTACCCTGTCGAGGGGATGCTAGCACAGTGCTTCTGTTTTGTTCAGAAGTGTGATGAAAACAGTTTTATTCTGGGGAGATGGTCGCTGTTTTATTTACTTTAAAAAAAATTGTATGAAGTGGAAATTAGCAGTTGAAAATTAACACTGCATAGCTTGAAAATGCTAGCAGAAACCGGGGTGCGTCTTTGTAGGAGCAGCAGACAACACTGGGTGCTGTGTGGAAGCACAGCACAGGGGAGAGAGGGCTTAGCTGGGGGGCTGCTGGGTTCCTGTGCTGCTGGAGTGGAGGAGGAAGACTATTTCAAACCTGCTACAGGTTTTATTATTTCTGGTCTTAATTTGTGATTAATTGGTGCTGGAGCTGAGTGAGGGATTTGGTACATTTTGATAAAATTGACAAGCTTGGGATGGCTGTGAGGCAGTGTTTGGGCAGTATTGATGTGCGGGGTGTGATTTGTTGCTTTAGCTGTTGTTTAAACGGCTTTTCAGATATTCCTAAATACACTCAGATATACCCAGTGCTAAATTAATGTTTTGTTTTGCTTTAAAACCTCGGGGAAGATGTATGCCAGTAGATCAAGTGCTTCAGTCCACACTGAAATGGGAGTCAGAGATGTGAGTTTGGGGTTTAATCACAGTTTACCCGAACAGCACTTTACTGTTTGCTGCTGTATTTAAACATAAACAAAATAAAGCCTCTTTGGGAGAGCTCTCCTGTGATCTCTGAAGGGAGATGATGACTTTAAAAGACTGTGAAATTCCCTTGAAAAGTACACTTAGAAATGTTAATTTCCCTAACGGTTGATTAAAAAAAAGGGAGTAGAGTATGAGAGAAGAAGGAGTACCAGAGGATTGGGAGGAACTAGATATTGCCTTTTGTGTGCTCTTTGCAAGGTTAAATCGATACTGAAGCACATGGTAGCATAGCTGTTCTTGAAACTGGTTGAATGTCAAACTGTTCTCAGAGGATGAAGCTGATCTAATGAAGCTGTTAAACATGGGAACCACTCTGAGGAACAGAGGCATCGCACATGCTTGATGGTTTTCTTGGCTAAGGGCCCATAATTATTTATCTTGTCCCATGATTTTCCTTTAAAAAGGATGGTGATACTGTTTCTGGCAATGTCGTGATTTTTTTAACAGTGAAGAAAATGTGGATCTGAATTCTTTTCACTTGGATTCTCCTTGTTTGACATCCACCCAGAAGGGAGACAGGCCTCAAAGATGTGAGAAATTCTCTGATGAAGACTTCCCTCTGGAGATCAATAGCCTGTCAGTGACTAAGCCAATAAATAGCTGCTGCAGTGCTGCCATGGAACAAGTCAGTATTTTATTGCAGAGTGTTCTTCATTAATTTTAAGGTGAATTGTGAGTGATGGTAGGAAAGCAAATGTCTGCCGCCGTGGCAGAACTAGGGACTCGAATGATGAAACAGCAGGCTTAAAGCAAAGGTGGTAAATTTTTTTTCAAAATAATTCCTTGTTGTCTCAATATGTCTTGGACAGCGTGAGTTAAAAAAACAAAAAACTTTGAAATGAAAGGCTTTAGGATGAAGGATGCTGGCTGGTTGGTAATTCCAGTAAAGCACAATATCTGAGAACACTTGGACACAGTTATTAGAAGCTGTTGGACACTGATTATTTCTTGTTCTGCCTGGTTTTCCCTCTTTCTTATGTCTTTGTTTATTGTCCCCCATATCACTGAGTTAAAAAACCAAAAAACTTTGAAATTAAAGGCTTTAGGATAAAGGATGCTGGCTGGTTGGTAATTCCAATCTGAGAACACTTGGACACAGTTATTAGAAGCTGTTGGACACTGATTATTTCTTGTTCTGCCTGGTTTTCCCTCTTTCTTATGTCTTTGTTTATTGTCCCCATATCACTGAAGTACTGCTGTTGTGTGCACTACATACACACGCATGTGAAGATGTGTTAAAAAGCTGATGCTAGGGAACACCTCTGTGTTTATTAGAAATATCAGCAGTTAGACAGAGTCTGGAGCAGTTGTGTTGTAGTATTTTGAACTGAGACATTTAAAAATGAAAGTGATGATTCTTGGTATGTTACAATCCCTTTGACACATTCCAAAAAGATCCTTTCCTAACTCTGGCTCACTTTCTGTCTCCTCCAGGACACTGGTTCCCCCATAAGTAAGCTGCAGCATGCGTTGGCCGAGTCTCGACAGATGGTTGCTGATCTGGAGCTTAGTGCTCTCCTCCCTGCGAGCCCCCGCTGCAGTACGAGCAGCAGCAGCGTTAACACGGTATCTGTCGCTCTCCGATGACTAGCTTTAGGTGGCTGGGCAGAGGGATTGCAAACATCCTTTCCCAAATGCTTGACTTGTGCTACAACATTCTAAACAAGATCCTCCTTATGCTTTGCTACAGAGAAAATTGCTGCATGCCTTAGTGTGAAATACTTGCATTTTTTATAGGATTCTTTATGTCTCCTCAAGGTCATGACAGGATTTGAGTTTTGCATGTGTCTAAGCAGATGGAAGGAAGAAGTCATTTTGGAGCAAGCTGTAGGAGGTCTAGAAAAGAGCGAACACAAGTATGACTGATGTTCAGAACTGGTTTATTATGCTGGGTGTATTTGTGGAAAGGAGGACAGTATAGGGAATAGGGGATATATAGAATTGTTTTGTATCTGAGTTTAAACCAGCCTCTCAAATAACTTCAGAGGTTTTGTGGGTTAATAGTTTTAGTTCCTTCATTGCAGGGTCAGAGAACATACTCCATGGCCAAAGAAAATAACCTGTGTATAGCTGTCACGGCAATTTATTTGAAGAGCGTGAATGCTGATAGGGAGTCTGTGGGCAAGAGGAGTAAGTGGAGAAGGGGGCACTTGTTTGGTTTCGTAAATATCCTTAGGAATTTCTACCTTGATGACAAGGAGATTGTGCCACTTGTCCCTAGAAATGAGTGAACTCGTGCTGATATGTATCACAAAGGGAGAATTTAGGCTTTTGCTTTTAGAGCAGAGTCCAAAGGAGAAGGCTGCATGCTGAAGCCTCAGCTTCCTCCTGAAAGGTATTTTCTCTCTCGGAAAATTTTGCTCTCCTTGTATCCTTAGACGAACTTGACCAGAACAGTGTTACTGTAAGTAACAGACAAAGCAATTCTGATAACATTCAGAACCATAAAACCTTCGCTGGGCTGGGACTGCCTGCCAGAATGTAGAGGTTGTGTGCCAGTGTTTGCATACACTGAAAGGATATTTTGTTCAGAAGTTCATCTGCAGGATTTCATCCAGCGTGAAAGACAGCAGCAGTGTAGTCTTTTGCAAAGACTGTCTTGTAGGAGGGATTCCTGAAAAGCTCTTGACAGAACAGCGCTAGCTTGTGGCTCTTGCCCAGCCCCATCAGCTGTCTGGCTCCTGCTCGCTGGTTGGCACGGCACAGCTCGGCGAAACCGGCTGTCCTTCGGTGGAGAGCGTGACTCTGCTTTATAACCTGATCCTGCATTTTTGAGCTTGAAAGTTGGCATCTCATTCAGGACGCTGGCTTTAGTGGATAGAAAATAAAGCAGGCTCATGTTTACCGGCGGGGGTAGCATCTGAACCACATCTGTAGAACTTTGATCTACTTTCAGGGCGGTTCTGGGCAAAAACCTGTAAAGCGTGTTTTAGTTAATCTATGCAGGGCAGCTAATCCGTGCTTGAAACCGGGTGTACCTGAGGCTGTTTTAAACTGCACTTTAAAACACAATGCATATCAAATATAACCCTTAGAATTTAATCAGTAAGAATTTGTACGTGTTGGATTCTGTGCCCTGCTTGGAGGAGGGAGGTGAAGAGGGAATGAAAAGTGGATCCTTGCTGCTCGCCATTGAACCTGGCAGCTCTTTAATTTTTATTGTGTGAGTTCTTTGATTTCCATGTAGTGTTTTTGCATTACAATACAGACAACAGAAGTTGCAGAAGCTCTTCACAGAACCCAGTTATCTGCTGCAGAAGAGAGAGACACTAAGCTTCCGTTCTTTTCTCTGTGATGTTCTGTGAGCATGAAGGTATGTTTCCCTCTTTATAAATGCAGCTGCAATATTAATACAAGTTATGGACTTTGAGTTATGAGATGAGCCTGGCACTGGATTCTAAGGGCACTGCTCTGAATGCATTTCCAGTAAAACTCTTGTGAGTACTGTGGCAGCAAACAGATATTAAGGCAGCAAGTAATTCCTGTAGCCAAATAATTAAACTTTTCTCAGGCATGTTCCTCATCCTCTGGGCAGTCAAATCTCGCAGCTCCATTCCTCAGTACCTGCGCACTGCCTATTGTAGTTAAAATCCTTCTGTATGTTACAGATAACAGGATCACGGATATGAACATTGTTGAGTAAGAGATTGGGAAGTGTTTTTCAGTGCCATGGCCAAGGGCTGGTTTAGCATATTGTTCCTGGGCTCAGAGCTCCAAAAGTAGAATGTGTTGAATAGAGCTGTTTCAGAATATAAAAAGCAGCCTTGCCTGTAGCAGATTGTTTTTTCTTTTTGAATCAGGAAATTTCTCACTCTGTGATTATTTGTTCTGCTGATGTGAATTGGACGCTTGCAACAGGCACCATGTTGTCTGGTTCTGAGGACAAAGGAGTAACCAGATCTGGTTAAAATACCAAACAGCACGTGAGACTGAATAAGAACCAGCAACAATAGGGGGAAAAAAATCAACAAAAAAAGAAATCTTCCAGTGCTGACACAACCCCTGCGCATGTCTGCAAAGGGAAGTTATTACCCAGCAAGCTGCAGCGTGAGGCGGTGTGGCACTGCACTTCTCACACCGATCAGCTCTGGTCCAGTGGGGAGCTGGTGCTCAGTTCTCTCTCGGAATATTCAAACTGCAGCCCCTGAACTGGCTCTCCTCTGTGGAGCCAAACCCTCTGTGCCCCTGGGGAGCGGCGCTGGTTTGTAGCATCCTTGTGTTCTGCTGTGTCTGCATTAAGCTCGGAGACACTCAGTCTTCTTCCAAAATGAGTTGGGTCTGCGTAGTGCGCGCTAATGGGGCTCTCCCAGGAAATGGATGCTGAGTAGCGGAATGCCGGAGCTTGTTCTGCTGGAATGTTCCTGTGTAGAGATCCTTTCTTTCCTGAAAAGAGCCCTAAGGTCACAGAAGCTGGAGGGTTTTTAGATCGAAGCAAGCGCTGTGACTTGCATCCTGAAACTACTGATGTTCAAAAGTTTCAGGAGCAAATCCCCAAAATTGCTGAGCACCATGCTGATACAGCAAAGCAGTGAGCACACGCTTAGCCTACAGAAAATAATCTCGTTTGCTTTGAGTGAGAAAGAACTCGTGGAACAAACGTACCTGCAACCCACTCTAGATCCCTGATAAGAATTAGTGACTGTGCAAGTCACTGGCTGCTGCGTAATTCTTATTTTATTCATTTATTAAAAGGCACTGCATCACCGTGATCAGTTCAATCCAGAGCAGCTTTTGCAGGTCCAGAAATAACTAAACCTTTGTGCAATTTCATGTAGGGAAGTGATTGGATTGATCTTGGTTGAGGTTGGTTTGTTTTTTTTTTTTTAATTGCCTTGAAATCATTTGCAGCCAGGTGTGCTGATAAACACCAGGTGAATTTCTGAACCAGCTGACGGTGCTTTAGCCGTTTTCACCAGTCGGTCGTTTTTCCTTTAGAGAGAGATTGGGTGTGGGGGAGTTGAACGAAGGAGGAAAGCAGTGAGTAAAAGGATATATTTGGTTTTAGACACCGTAGCATGTGCTAGTGCTTGTAAACTGTGACTCAGTGGCTGGCCAGGGGCACAAAGGTCACTCCTTTTTGCAAAACAAACTGAAAAGATTTTATTTCATAACACTCCAGTGGTGTCCCTGAGACTATCTTCTGTGAAGTGCTTTGTTTACCTTTCTCCTGTTTGTTTTTTTACTCTCTGTTTTCGTCCTGTTTGCAGTGTGAAAATTTGTATAGTAAATGGACATATATGTGATTGCTTAAGAAAAAATCTTTAATTTTCTGCAGTGGATGAAGAAGTTTCCAATACAGAACTAATTTGGAGAACTGAAGATCATCAACCCATCAGTGGAAAGTTACCTCAATTTTTTCCGTGGTCCTCTGAGTGTTTGAAAGACTCACAAGTGGCAAAAAGATGTGACTATGCGGGAATATATTTTATCTTGAAATAAAACATACAATTATGCCAAGATTAACAAAACTATTTTTATAGCTGAGAGCTCAGGTTAAATACCACCTTGTTTTTTACAAGTCTTAAGCATGTAATTGTTATGACACAGGAACTATTTTTCTTACTTTTTTTTTATGGTGGCTCAGAAATATTTATAGAGTATGACACAGCCAAGCATTCTTTTTTTTCTGTTAGTTTATTGTTTTTGTTCTGGACTTCTTGCCACATAGAGAGAGAGAGATGAATAATGTTTATAGGAAGTTCCCAATTAGTGCTGTAACCAGGAACTGCCTCCTGCGTTACTGAACTTGGAGAGCTGTCACCCACGAGATGGGCAGAACGACGCTTCCCCAGGCGGGAGCAGAGCCAGATCAGGTGCATGTCCGGGCTCTGCCAGGGACCAAGCACAATCTGACTGGCTTTTTACCATTTAAACTGTTTCTTTCTTTTTTTCTTTGACTATTGGGCAAGACATGTTCTGTTATCACCATTTGAACTTATTTTTTAACTACACGATGAAATGCGCCAATCAAGGTGATACCTTTGCTGTACCTTTGTTGTTTAACACACTGCACAACACATTTAGCACTTTATTTCTGACGGTTCCCTGGGACAGAGGACAATAACTGCCAGAGACGCAAGTGGGATACTCGGTTGTGAGCGGTTTGGGACAGCCGCTGCCACGTGCGCATTGCTGAGCGCTGCGCCAGCATTTTTCCTGCGTGGGGGCAGCTGAGGGGCAGGAGGGGGAGTCTCTGGCTCTGTCCACTGCCATGAAATTAATTGGAGTGAAATTCAACATTCGCACCATGCTTTCCCCTCATTAACTCTTTCATATAATTTTCTGCTTTCTGTTTAATTACCTAAATGGCAGCCTGCTTTCCTTTGCATCCTCATAGCCTCAAAAATTAGTTGACCAATTCTGCTCCTAGCTCCTGTCCTCCAAGCTCTTTCTCTCCCCACTCCCGGGCACTACCCACAGAGGGAATCTCTGCTGCTCAGGGTTTCTTTAACTTTCCCCAAGCTTTTAAAGCGCATTTGATTCCTCTACCTGCAGAGAAACTTTCCAGGCTCGATCCTCAAAATCAGCTGCTGTGGGTATGACAAAAATTCCCCCCAAAAAGCCGCCGACGGCAACACCACGCTGCTCGCCCTGAAGCTGTCCAGCAGCGATACTGTACGTCAAGTCCTGGAGAAATCGGTGCAGCTTCCTCGCGTGGGCTGCGCTTTCCGGTTTCAACGCGTGCAGCAGCAGCAGACGAACGCACTGAACCCGTTGTGAGTTTAAAATGGAAAACTGAGCCCCAACCGTGCAGGAAGGATCTGCAGAGCCCCTGGTGCTGTGTCGGGGCTGCTGTGGATTTGTGGAAGGGGAAGAAAGCGAATATTAGGGTTGATTTATCCAGGCACGAAGTGACTTAACAAACCAAGTGCGTTATCTACCTGCCCGGAGGCTGGTATGGAAACTCGAGCTGCCTCAAAACCTGCCTCAAACGGAGCTGCCGCATTTCTGGAAGCATTACAAATTCCCCAGGGAGTGCTTTTGCTATTGTATTCCCATCCTGAATTATTATTAAAGAAAACAAAGCTGCCGGTCAGCTTTCCGCAGGCTGT